GTTTCCCCTGAAGAAGAAAGGTCCACCTTTCAAAATTGCTTGGGTTATAGGGTTTTTATTTATTTCTATTTGCCCAATAATATAAGGTGTTATGATATGCTACCATAACAGCTCTATATTTCACCAAAGTTGGGCTTGGTATGGCCTTGTGGTAAGGAGCTTAACTTGCAATCTGAGGGTCATGGGTTCAAATCCCAGTCACCCTTTCACACATGGGGGTGTTATAATGTGATGGTTAGTCCTACTATTCATTGGTAAAAGAGTAGTCCAAGAGATGGCATTGGGTGGTGATGACAAGCTGCCTTCCCTCTAGTCTGTCTGCTAAATTAGGGACAGCTATCACAGATATCCCTCTTTTAGTTTTGCACAAAATTCCAAAACAAATCAAACTATATGGTTTTTGTTACATTTTATACTTTCCATTTTCTCATAGTTAATTTGATTAAATTTTAATTCTGTATTTTTGGAATATAGGAAAATAAAATGGATTATAATTACTTGTATAAAGATTAGCTTGCATTGTCGGTTTAGTTTGTGGATTTAGACCTATTGTAAGTATTGTAAGTTGGCTGCATGAACCATTTAATGTATACTTGACATTATGGCTTAAATTGCTTTATTGTTTAAATATTGAAAATTAAACAGACCTTACATTTTTTATAAAAACAAGTTCACTGCAATTTTTTTGATTTTTCACATTTCTTTTAATTTGTTCATTGTGTCTTGAAATTGTAGATATGTAGAAAATAACATTTCAGAGCTGTTTTTTGTTTCCCACAAGTCACTGCCTAATAAGTTTTTTTGTTGAATATCTGAACTGATCAGTTTGGCTGGTAATTAGTTATCTCTACCCAACTGAGTGGATTTAGGCCTATGGAATAATATTATATTTTGAGCTTTGTATTAGAAGGTAAGAAACTTTGCTGCATTTTTTGTTTTTAATGGTAGAAACCTAAGTTTTCACACACCTAAACCCAAAACTGAATTTACAGTTACTCATGAGAATGACAAATTCCCTTTTTCAGTATATCAATTATAATTTTTTTGCCCTTAGATTGGCCAGGGTGCCCCAGCTAGGGAGCCTGTGATGAGTGAAGAAGAACAGAAACGAATGATGCTTTATGCATATAGGAAACAAGAAGAAATGAAGGTAAAAAATGTTATGAGCAAAGTCTTTTTAACATGAGACAGTATATCAGTAATAAGTTTCAAACGCACCCACCCAACCATGGATACTGAATTCCTTCCTCAGCTGTACATTATACTGACACTAATCTTATATGACTACTCACTAGTAATATTCTAGTTTTTTGTTGAAAGTAAAACATCCTTTTAAAAATATGGAGAGAATATTTAATGAAACATATATTAGTAAATATATCTGTAAGAAGTATGACTACTTAAAATGTTATGTAAAAAAATTCTGTAGGATAAAACTGGTTTTGATAAAATTAGGATCAATATATATATATATATGTATCGGTGCTATATATCTTGGGTTTCAGAAATTGGAAGATAATGATGAAGATGACTACATGAACTCAGACTGGGCTGACAACAGTTTACTTAAACGATCTTTTCATGGCATGAAAGATGTGAAATGGAAGCCAAGATGAACAAAATTTTATAATAAACTGTACAAGACCAATAACAGCTATTATTTACAATATACTCTTTGAATAAATTTCTTTTATGTAAATGTACACATAAAACATTGCATTAAGTGTTCTCAGCTTTTCCATTTCCAGAAACTTGCTTTTTTTTTCATATTAGTAAAATACAATCAATTCATCCATGATATCCTAATCTTCAATAATCCGAGTATTTGAGAATAGTTTATGTACTGTCTTCTAGAGTGTGAAAGTTTTGCTGAATGAATGTTTCTTCACCCAATGTGCACAAGAATGACATATTTTCTATTTTTACTGTATCAAAGCACTGAGTAGATAAAACGTATGTACTGGTCCTGACTTTTAAAAAACAATAAAATCTCTAGTCTAATCTTAGTTTACAAAACCAGACCTTTTGTTCATTCTCAGTGCACAGATAATGCATCATGTACATTATCAAAAACTACCAAGGTAAAAGATAAAATTCTCTCAATATATATATATATCGTTACGTATCTGCTTGTTTGTTAATTTCCAGTATATAAGTACACAAAAAAATTACCAGATAACATGTTGTACACATATACAATTACTGTAAAGGTAATGGGTTTCACTCATTCTAAAATAATTAAACATTTCAAACACGTCGAGGGATAAACAATATTTAGATTTTTTTACTACTCACCCTAACTTTTTAGTAGTAAAAAAACAAAAGCGGTGACGTATTAACCACTTTAAGGTACTGTTACGTCTCTGATCGTTTGTTAATTACCCGTAAACATTCTTTCAGAAGAACTTCAGCGATACAACTCCTTTCTTAAATAAAACTAGCTTATTCTTTCACAATACAACTTTGCAATACACTTACTTTACACAGTCACTTTAACTTAAACATACGCTATAATTCACAATGATTTACACACTTTACTTACGGCTTGACTCGATTATCTGTCTATATCTTCAATCTCTCTGTCTGCTATTCCAGTTCCGATTAATTGTCTCGCTTTATCTGGCGCACTTATATACAGGAATAGAGGACGTCTAGCAAATACTGGATTATTCGTGATGTTCACCGATCCTTCTAGAAACTTATCAAGCGTTACCAGTGCACGCACTGGCTTTTTTCGTTATGTATATTTTAAGTTGTACCTTTCTTTCGATAACTCCTATTCTAACAAAAAAATCCTCACTTAGTTTTTCGTTTGTCTAATTAGTCTTCGATTCAGTTATTAAAATATAAAAAAAACTTACCCGTTCAGTTTCTGTGCCACGCGTGTTACTGATAGTCGTTTGTGCTCCATTGGAAAGAAATATTGTACAGAACTTTTTGCAATCTTTTTTAGAACTTTGTGTTTTGCAGGGGTGGATTAAGGGTCAGATGGGTCTGGGGTTAACTTTTTTCACCAGGTCTATTTGTGATCGCGACTAAAGACTAGGGTAAAAAAAACCAAAAAAAAAAACCACTAAACCTCATTACTTTTGGAGACAATGGAAAAATAATACTCACAGACTTGCAAGACTCGTTTAAGAATTAATGAGCAATATTAGATGTTTCTTGAATAAGACTGGTGCTCTAACACAGACAAAATTTGAACAACAAAGCATAGAAACAGAAAAGTTTGTTTGTTTGTTATGGATTTTGCGCAAAGCTACATGAGGGCTATCTCCGCTAGCCGTCCCTAATTTAGCAGTGTAAGACTAGAGGGAAGGTAGCTAGACAACACCACCCACCGCCTACTCTTTTACCAACGAATAGTGGGATTGAACGTCACATTATAACGCCCCCACGGCTGAAAGGGCGAGCATGTTTGGTGTGACAGAGAATCGAACCTGCGACCCACAGATTGTGACTTGAGCAACCTAACTACCGGGCCTAGACAGAAAAGAACAACAACTAATGGCTGTAAGGACTTCTTTGTGTTGGATTTCCATGTATTCGTCATAAAAATTTGAGGATAAGTATGAAACATGACCTTTTCCCTTATTTACGTGTTTTTGAATTGTTCAGCAAGAAATGTATCATCATCAGCCAATATCTCCAGTATTCCTAAGTAATCGCCATCATTCACTGAACCAACTATATCATCGCTTCCCTGAATGCTAGCATTCTGAATAATAAAAGCTTTATGACTGAGAGAATACGTTCTAGAATTTCGCGCCAGTACTTTTCCTTTGACTCCATTTTTTCTATTAAAGCCTTGTTGATTCGTCTGCTTTTGGTTTTACGAATAACAAATTTGGTGATGCAACTTTGGCGCAGTAAGCTTGTTTCCAGTCAGAGTAACCAGTTTTTGGTAGCGAAGAAGTTTCTAATGCTGTTGAAAACAATTTGCATATAATACAGAAGGCGAGTATAATACTTTGATGATAAGCAAAAAAGAAACATTCTCTTTTAACCGTTTCTACATCAGTTGTTCGTGATTATAAAAGTCTTCGCGTTTATACTTGTCACCCGGAATCGATTTTGTAAAAGCACTGCAATTTTTATCCATATACTGGCAAGAGGTAATCTCCGACAAAATAACAAAATCTTTCATTTCACCAGAAATCTCTGTACGTGGCCCTATGTCGAATGTAAAGGATGGGTTAGTATCTTCATCGTTGATTTCTCCCTGTTGGTAAGGTCTAGAATCAATTTGACGAGGTTGACGATCATCAGCATTGAAAATTGTAGTCTCTACATGATTTTTATCACAGTCTTGGTTGGCAGTTATGTTTTTGGCACTTTCTCATTGAGGGCAAGGATCGATTTGATATAGTGAGATTGACGGTCATCAGCATCAAGAGATTTAGTGTCTACATTGTTGTTTCCATTGTCTTGGTTAATGATGGTTTCGGCACTAGAGGACAAAGCCTATAAGGCCATTAGCTTTCTACTTTTAGTTACTACATCCTCTAATTTTTTCTCCCTCTTTCTTTGACGTTAGCTTTTCCCAACTGCTCATGTTTGTTCATCTGTATATTAGATAAAATAAACTCTTAATGAATAATACGTGTACACGTATAAGTGTGCTTGTGTGTGAGAGAGATGTCAGAACGAGTTGCCTAATAATATTATAACAAATGATCAGACATAATTTTCTGTGCTTAACTCAAAAACTTTAAATTTTGTACTTGAATGACGTGTATTGTGTACCTTCCTATCAATGATTCCTGTCAAGTTGTCAACGAATAATTTACAGCTGCTAAGTGGGCCACTGTAGGCTCACGAGTAATTATGGATTTTTACGAGATAACAATTTGCAAATTCTGTTCATGATAAACACTATCGTGGTTCATGATGGCACCGGTAAACAAGACTAATTCAGTTACTTATGGCCAGAATGCGTTACACTCATCACATTCATTAGCTGCTTTCGACTACTGTTAACTGCATAAATATATTTTAATGGAATTGTTTGCACTCTGAGTGTCATCCTCAATGCTTTCCTTTATTCTGTCATATTTTCATGCTTTCACAATAACATTTTTGCTTAAAACACTTTTATAGATTCTCTGAATTTTGGCACGATTATTAGGCGTTCAATTGCTAAAGCCAATGTCGAATTACTAAGCTGAGATATACGAGTTGCTTATATGCTCACGGCATTGGTAAACATGAGTGGTCTCACAGCTTCTCTCTCATAAATTATTTTATAAAAAATTCCAGCCAATGTTTAAAATTATGATTACAACCACTATAACAAATTATTTTCACACGCGGGGTTGCAGAGAAACATCATTTCCCGAGCACCCCAGTTGGGTAGAAAAGGCAAACTTAATGTTGTTCTCTGTTCTTTCAAACAAAATTACTGCCACATTTCGTTTTATTTTTCATGAGTAATTCAATTACTCATGGCCAGAAGGCGTTAGTTACACTCATCACATTCATAAGCTACTTACAACTATTGCTAACTGGGCATAAAATAACACTAAAGCATTAGTATTTACCCAAGAGAAACGCATTAATAGTTCTGATATA